TCTGTTTTCCATTGCTATAGCAAAATATCTTGAGGCTGCATTATTTGTAAAGAAACATCACAGATCTGGAGGTGCAAGAGCATGGTGTACCAGCTTCTGCTCAGCTCTGGTGAGACATCAAGGCAGACAGCATCACAATGGTAGGAACAGATATGAGGGCCAGAAAGGAAGAGAGCAGGAGGGGTCAAGGGTGTTCTTGTTTGTTTGCTTGTTTGTTTTCATGATATGGAGATTGAATCCAGATGTACTCTATCTTTGAGCTACATCTCCAGACTAGTTAATCAGTAGTTAGTTAGCTAGACAACGTCTGTCTAGGTTGCCCAGGCTGGTCTTAATCTTATGATCCTACTACCTCAGCCTCCCAAGTAGCTTGGATTACAGGCATGTGCCACAGTAGCCAACTGGCTCATTCTTTTATAATAACTCAGTCTTGGGAGCCTAACCAGGTTCCATGTAAACTATATTAATTCTTTGAGAGAGCCGTTGTTCTAATTACCTCCCACTAGGTCTCACCTCTTATTATTACCTCCCACATTGTCCTACTGAGGACCAATGTTCCACCACATGGACCCTTGAAGGGACGCACTCAAACCACATGCAGCATCAGCACCCTCAGCAGCAGCATACAGAAGGATCACCCAGCCATGCCTGCCTGAATTTCTGATCCACAAAACTGTGAGATATAGTACAATAAAAGTGTCACCTTTTGGGCCATTACATTTTGGGAACATTGGTCTGTTCACATAGTTGAACAGACCAACTATATGAGAATCACTAATGGGTTTTATTGAAATGTATGTGGTAGGCTTTGGCTATGATTTAGGTAATTTAAACTCAAGAGCCCAGAGAGCCTGGCAGCCTCCTGCTAGTCCTCTGACTTGGTGTGTAGCTATGACAATTGTCTTTTGGACTTTCTGGGACAATTCTATATGTCCAGCAGTCTTATTGTCCACACATTGGACATTAAATCACAAAATGTAGATTCTACATGGCAACAACAAGGGCAATGTGTGTCTAAAAGTGACATATAGAAAGCTTTATTACATTTGTGATTCTGCCTTTTTGAGGAAATTAGTTTTCCCATTACAATACTACAATAATGATATTAATAATATATTAACATGCATTATTAACAATATCCTTATAATAATAAGGATATTATTCCTTATGCCAAAAGAAGGGAAAGGAGCAATTCCATCCGTGCCCTAGAATAAGCACAAAATCACAATTGGTCAGATCACAGATGATCAGGCCCACAGGCTTTAGATTAAAACACCTAAGATCAAATCCTTGCTCCATTAGCTATAACCAGTGAAATTTTTAACAGCTCCAATGCTTTCTTCTCATTTTTAGATGGAGATGATAATGCCTGTCCCAAGCTATTATTGATTTTTTTAGTATATGTGCTGCTGAAGCAGTCACTCATGGTTTTATCGATAACTGAATAAGCTAATCAATGAAATATGCCTGACATAATATCTGACGCAGAGTAATACTTCAATATTATTAATATTTTCAATATCAGAGTGCTCAGAGCAGAAAAGAACCTATGTTCCAGTAAATAGACATGTGGTAATACAGCAATAAAAATCATCACACTAGAGGGAATGAGTCTCCTGGTAACATTTCTCAATGAGAACTCAGGATTAAAAGTGAAGAAGTACACAATCAGATAAAGTTGTATTCAAGGGAGCAGTAACAACCCCAATCAAGGAAGCAAATTGTACACCAGATCCTCATGACCACGTAGAGAAAATGAGCCCAAATCAGGCAACACAGAAGATGGGAAATATAGATGGGGCCAGAGTAGAGATTACCCTCTAAATTTGTATTTCCTGTTATTTGTGATGAAGGACTAGTTTACAAAAAATTTGTTTCAGACCAATGCTTTAAAAAAGAAAATCAATAAAACTATTGTGGCAATGCCAAATTGCAGTCAAAGTTTCTAAATTCTAACTTGATGATTTCTGTTCTTACATTGTTTGGAAACAGTGGCCAGCAATACTGAACTTGGAGTAGCACTGGCTTAAGTGGTCTGGCTTGTTTGATTTTTTGGTTTGTTTTTATACCTGCTTATTATTGCTCATTTTTTGTTTTGTTTACTAGTTGCTTAATAGTAGGAACTGGAAGTTTAGATCAGGGCCTCCCTCCATATGATATCACCTACAAATTTTCTTACCTAAACTAAGAAGCGTATCTAGTTCTCACCCACTAGTGGGAGTGTAGACAAGTCCCCACTATCCTGGGAAACCTCGGGAGGGGAGCAGTGTGAGCGCTGGTGAGAGAGAGGAGAGTGAGTGGCCTGAATTTGGAAGTAGAGCCCCAGAACTCTTCCTCAGCACCTTCTCTTTCTGAGTTGAAACAAACCCCATTTATAATAAAAATAATAAATATTAATACTTATTATAATATTATAATATATAATAATAGATATCACAATAATATAACAATTAAGATGTTTCCCTCTAAAGGGCAGAAATGCAGATAGACTAACACTGCCTGTATATGCTTATTACTCCTTTTGTTGTCTTCTTAAAGTTTTGACATAAAAACAAATCTTTCAAGAAGTAAATTATAAACAAGTTTAGGAACTATATGGGCCTAGAATAGGAAAGTAGTCACTTGTCTTTCCTCAGCCTATGTAAAATGTGATTTAACCACAACTTATTTCTGCTTCCTCCTGAGGCACATCCTGCCATGCAGGTGGTCTCAGCGCCAACCTCCAGCCTCATCTCTTATGTCCCAAATGTCAATCTGATATTTTCATTTGGATTTCTCGCTGTCTTCTAATGCAGTGTGCCTAAAATAACTTCAACTCCACTCCTATACCTTCCTCCAAAGAAGTGCAACTTTCTAAATTCCTGTTACTACCAAATAGTAATATTGGATTCTACTCTCTACTTCCCATGGGTGAATTAACACCAGGTATCCGTTATATTTCTCCTCTGCCTTCCTTTCTAATGCTGCAGGAATCAGACTGAGTTAAAATCATCTCACAGATGGTCTGTTGTTTCATTCTTCTACGTAGTTTCCCAAGTGATCCCATCCCTGCTCTCTCCCCTGAAAATTATTTTCTGTACTTGATTAGTCCTTTAGAGTAACACCACAATGCTACTGATGTCCTCACAAATGCCTTTTCTGGCTTCATAACTCAAGAAAGAGGAGCTAACCTCTTTAATGAGGCTTTTAAAACTTTTACAATATGATTTCCCCTATCAACTTGACACCTACAATTAATTCTCAAAATGATCTCTCCACTCCACTCCAGGCCATTCTTTTCCCTGACCTTCCAGCTTCTGAACCTTTTCTTCCAAGAGAACCTAAAGTTCTCCCTTCTAAGTACCTGATTCCTACTCTTCTATCAAGATCAGATACAAATCCTAGCTCTTCTACAAAGCCATCTGCCTCTCCCAGCTCACACAAAGCTCTCCTTTTCTGAAATCTTCTCCATGCCTCATATCTGCTGACAATTCATATTGGTAATCCTCTGTTCCATTTAATATCCAGAAATTTTCCTTTTATTCTTTGGTACCCAACCTCCTCCCACCACCACCACAAGAGCCCACAATTGTACATACAATAGTGAGGAACAATAGGCTGAAGAGTCAATAAGAAAGAAAGAAAGAAAGAAAGAAAGAAAGAAAGAAAGAAAGAAAGAAAGAAAACCAAGGAAGAGAAGTAGGAAAAGGAAGAAAAAATAATTCTACTTTTCTCTTGGATGTCTGGCTTGCCCTTTACATCTCCCAATTTTATAGACTATTTGAACTGAAAGGGTCTAAAAGATCATTGGCTCCAATGATATGTATGATCCTAACTATAAAGGTTTGTTGAAAAGTAGATATAACATAAATGATGTAGCTGAGACAATCAAAAAAAGTATCATTTACCAGTTGTGTGCCCTTATGATATCATTTACTTTCTCTGTTCTTCAGCATTCTCAGTCTTGAAGTGTGAATAGTATCACACTTCCTTGAGGAGTTATGTGAATGTGAGATGAGATGATATAAGTAAAGTACTTGGGCAGTGATTGACCATGGTAAGTGCCCAGTGGTTGTTAGGGAAAAGATCCCTGCCTGACTTACGTCACAGGAGTCTACTTCAAAACACATAAATTAGAATTTCACAAAGGCTGGTCCCAGCTTATTAATAGGTTGTGGAATCAATTTAGTGGGATTTTGCTATGGTCTGAATGTTTGTGTTCCATCCAAACTCAATTCATGAAACCTAATCCTCAAGTTAATGTTATTGAGTGAGATCTTTAGAAAATGATTAGATGAATGAGGTTAATGCCCTCATAGATGCGCCAGAGAACTGCCCTCCCCTTCCACCAGCTGAAGACGTTAGCAGGTGCCATTTATGAGGAACAGGCCCTCACCAGACACTGAACCTGCCAGCACCTTGATCTTGGACTTTCCAGCCTTGAACATTGTGAGGAATATTTTTCTGTTGTTTATAAATTACCCTACTAAGGTGTTTTGTTATAGCATCTCAAGTAGACTAAAATAAGTATATTTATGCCCATCTCTGTACATCTATTTCTAACTAAACTTTTGCTTATGATATAATTATAATATATATTTCTAACTGTGAGTCACAGTCAAGCAACTTTGAAGGCCACTGGATTAAAGTCTTCCAAAAATAAAAGTGAAATTGTACACCAAAACTATATTTGGAATGCTAGGTTCTACTTTAAGAACAATTTCATCTTCCATCTTCTCTGAAACTTGGGTTTTCCATTGACACCACAATACAAAATGTCTAATAAAAATTGTTAATGTTGTCTTAATTTTTCTTTCATTCAACATGTGATATAGACCACTATTGCTTCACTAACTGAAATAGAGAGGACTCCCTTACATGGAGGCCTGAATTCTCCAGGTTTATCAGGAGCTCTGGCGAGCATTTTCTCCATTAGATGAAATGTTCTGGATCATGTAGGACAGAGGACAGCTCCTGATTTTGAAAGCTCCTTAGCTAATAACTTGTGTTGCCTTTTGCAGTGATTCTGTCACCCATATAGTGGCAGAGAACAACTCGGGTAATGATGTTCTGGAGTGGCTGCAGGTACAAAACATCCAAGCCAGCTCCCGATTAGAACTTCTGGACGTCTCCTGGCTGATAGAGTGTATGGGAGCGGGGAAACCAGTGGAGATGACAGGAAAGCACCAGCTGCTTGTGAGTGCCCTTTACTTATGGTTAAGAACATGAGTTGTGAAGTCAGTGGACCTGGGTAAAACCCCAAATTCTCTGCTTATTTCCTGTGTGACCTTGGGCAAGTCACTTAGCTTTGCTGAACTTCAGTTTCCTCCTATATCATATAATGTTAGCACCCAATTCAGAAGACAAATGAAAATTAGAATTACATACTTATAAAGAGTTTACAGGGCCTGATGTATTATAGGCAATGAATAGATGGTAGCTATTTTTATGAACATATTTCTACATAAACATTTCAAAATATTTAAGTCTTGATGTTCTAGCAACCAAGAACATAGAGGGTTCTTATTTACCATGTTCATTCAGGAAAAAAAGAAATTAAGTTCTCAGTTCCAAATTCTTGACAATTAGAGCTAGAATCTTTGGGAAGAGAGATTGGATCATCATAATGTCAGAGAAAATAAAAGTAATTTATTGTTGGTTCTTTGTCATGTTTTTTTCTGATTACATAAATAATACATAGTAATGATAGCAAACACAAATATTAGAAGTGTATATAACATGCAGTTTGAGTCTCTGATAATTTTATTCTTCTTCCAGAGACAACTGCCATCAAACAGTCTAATTATTTTCTCTCTGTATACCTATTGTTATTATAATTGCTCTTTAAAATTAATGCTTATGCTTTTGTCTAGGTGAGAAGAGACTATCCAGCTAGCCCCAAACCAGGTCCCCAGAAGACCCCATCCCTTGCTGTGCAGAAGATCTCTGAGTATGCATGTCAGAGGAGAACCACTTTAAACAACTGCAACTGCATATTCACGGTAACAGCTTTACTTCAACACCCAGAGTAAATGAAGGGTGCACAGATCTATAAATCTAAACCATGATTTTTCTGGATATTTGGGAAAGGTTTCTCCCCTTTCTGACAAGAAAAGGTCCCTTTCTTTCATGGAAATGAACAAAATATATTGAGTTGTATTCTGTAAGGTCCTAATTACTGAAAGTTGTAAATGTACACAATACTTATTGAAGGCAAATATTCTGAAAAGACAAATATTGTAATTACTCCAAAACATAGTAAGAGCAAATCACATGAAATAGCAATAATGTATCACCAGCCTTTGCTGGGAAGCCAAAAGACGAAGAGTCTACAGATGAACATTCTAGCCTGACCTGGTCTGACATCAGCTAACACGGGCAGGTCAAGTCCTCTCTCTTAGCCTCAGTTCCTCATCTGAGCAACAAAAACTGAGCTTGAAAGCCCTACCCAGCCCTGCAGCTTTTCAGACAAGCCTAACAAACCCATAAGTGATATGATCTAGCCTAGTGGTCAATGGTGACCTAGATAAAGCATGCAATAGTTTATCAGACATAAAGCTTCTCAGTTCTAGACTTCCAGGCCCACATCTGTGAGGGAGATCAGGAAACTGGAGCTCTCTGGCTACTGAGCGTGGTGTCCCAGAGCTGCAGCTGCCAACTCCTCTGGTAGCAATGTAAACAGGCCCCAGCTTAAACAACCCTGGCTCTGAGGCTGTGTGGCCCAAGAGCATAGCCATTCATTCAACAAGCCTGATTTAAGTGCAAGCCATATTGGAGGAGATGAGGATACTTAGTGATAGTAGCAGAACCCTAACCACAGATCAGTGAGGCAGACAGTAAAGAGGGAAGGGTCATGTCAGGTGTGACTAGTGGCATAGGATGAGCAAAGATCACTTTTGGGATAAATTATTCCTGAGTATCCAACAGCAGAGAGCTCAGTTTCCTTATAATGCATATGGCACCTGTCGCTTCAGCGCAATTCCCTTGACCTCACATGGGAAGGTACAAAGGAACGGGAGACTCAGTCCTGACCTTCAAGGAAACTGCCCAATATGTAAAAGAGTGCAAAAGACATTTGCAAGTGACCACTATTTCAAGGGCTTTTGTCTCTCTGGTTTGATTCCTCAGAATGCCTTTGAGATACTGGCTGAAAATTGTGAGTTTAGAGAGAACGAAAGTTCTTATGTGACATATATGAGAGCAGCCTCTGTACTGAAATCTCTGCCCTTCACCATCATCAGTATGAAAGACACAGAGGGCATTCCATGCCTGGGAGAAAAAGTGAAGTGTATTATAGAGGTAAGGTTGAAATAGGGAGGGAGGAGGGAGCTAATAAGAGATTTTCCTGTCAATTGTAGATATGGTATTCAAAACTGGTTTTCTCTTTCTGTGTCTTTCTGTCTCCACATCTATATCTGTATAGTGTTTATCTCTATATCTATCTATCTATCTGAGATAAGTAGATGCATAAATGTGTATAATCCATACCCTAACATTATCACAGCTGGAGCTGCATGAAGCCACCTAGTGAAACTAGAAGAACTCTCCCACACTCTTATTACCTACAGGGAAAGGCTCAAGTGACCTGAGAACTCTGCAGCAGGGGAAAGGCTGACTTCTAAATCAGGCTTTTGGGAAGGTGCAGTTCCACTCGGGGTTTGTCCCTTCCAGAGGAGTGGTGGGTGTTACATTTAGTGACACTGATTTTGCATCTTTGTGTGTTCCAGAAAGAGAGCTGAAGTGATAGTATGTACTTACTTGTGTTTAAGACTCCCCAGCAAGACAAGTTGGTGATCTGGTAGTAATCTCAGTATAGTCAAGTTCAAGGTACATTATTCAAGGAAAATTTTTCCTGAAAGAGGTGGCACTGCGCTAGACATCCTAAGAACTTAATGTAGACAGGCTTTTTAGTGGCTCCCCAACCTGCTCAATGGGAACGTTCTCTTCTTTCCAAAAGTTGTCATTCATTGAAAAGAACAATATCAGGAATATCTGGGCATGCATTTGCCAGGCAAGTGCTTTGCTGCTGAGCTAAATCCCCAGCCCTGGACATGCATCTGCTAGTGAATATTTTTTGTATGAGGGTTCTGTAGATTTGTGCCCTAATCATCCTACATTCTTGTCCCTGAAGATTATAAAGGGGTCTTTGAATATATGATGACCTAGGATTTTAAATTACAGGGAAATTCTTGCTTTCTCTAAATTAGGTAGGAAAACATCCTGCAGGTAATGAACATGCAATTTGTGAAAAATCAAGCTACCAGGTCTGTAAATTTGATGGTCTCAGGCTATAATTCTCCAGTGTCACTAATTTAAAATATTTTTCAACCATCTACATAGGAAATTATTGAAGATGGAGAAAGTTCTGAAGTTAATGCTGTGTTAAATGATGAACGATATCAATCCTTCAAAGTAAGTAATTTTGCATGTATTCATTGAAAATTTTTTTCAATTAATCTTATTACTTATACTGGATGGTTATATTAGCTCAGGCTACCACAAAAAAATGCCACATACTGAGTAGCTTCAACAATACAAATTCACTTTTTCTCAATTCTAGAAGTTTAAAGCTCTAGACTAAGGTGTCAACATGGTTGGATATTGTTGAGGGCTCTTTTTCAGGCTTGCAGATAACCACCTCATTGCTGTGTCCTCACAGGGTAGAGAGAAAGGAAGAGAGCAACTTCCTCTTATGAGAGCCTGAGACTCATCATGAAGGCTTCATATCTGTGACCTCACGTAAACTTAATTACCTCCCAAACGCTCATCCCACAAGGGACTAGGACCAAATTGTGTCCTTTGCAGAGTTGTAGGAAGAAGATGCCGAAATAACTATGAGTGTCCCCAGCTTATTGACATATTATAATGTCTAAGTTACTTTTTGTCGTTCTGTTCAGGGTGTCAGGTCCTGAGAGCAAGGTACCCATGGATGAATATAAAAGTAAGAAAAAAAGAAGACCAAGAGAGGCAAAATTCTGGGATCAGGGGACTTACAGCCTCTCGGACTGCAGCCCCAATTACCAATTTCACTAACTCTATTCAGAAAGAACAAAAGAAGCAGCAGTGCAAATGGGAGGATCTCAACCAATTTAGCAAGGACAATAAAGACCTGACTATTTAACCATCATGTTATCATTCCTTAGGGAAATGAAAAGCATTTAGTGTTGACCCTGGGGCTTTCAATACTTTTGCTAGACTTCCTCCAGAACCCAACAATCATGGCTTGGTCAGGCCTGAGGCAATACAAAAAAGAGTAACTAAAGAATGTCCTTCTCCACAACTTTTATCATCACTGAAACACAATACCCAACATCCACAACTTAAAGGAGGAGAGATTTGTTTTGGCTCACAGTTTCAGAGGATTCAGTGCATTGTCAGTAGGCTCCAGGGCAGAAATGGCATAGCAGAGGGGAATTGTGGATAAAAAACTGCTCACATCACGGCAACCTGGAAAGAGAGAAAGACAAGGGAGTATCCAGGGAGGAAATATGTCCTTCTAGGTCTTGGCAACCCTTCTTTACTGACTAGGGCCCCCCTAGCAGCACACTCAGCTGCTACACTCACTAGTGCATGCATCCACTGATAAGTATAACATCCCCATGATCCATTCACTTTCCAAAAGCCTGGCCTCTGAGCACATGAGAGTTGCCAGGGGCATTCAGATCTAAGCCATAACATTTGGCTCCTGGCTCCAAAAGATTCATGTGTGTCTCTTTGTGCAAAATGCATTTAGTTCATCTCTAAGAGTCACTGAATTTTAAACAAATTTCAGCATTGCTGAAAAATCTAAGTCCAAAATCTCCTCTGAGACTCAAAGTGAACTCCTATCTATGAACCCTTATACAAAATCAAAAAGAATGTTAAACACTTCCAACATTCAATATGTCAGGGTAAATGAATGAAACCAAAGAGACTGAAATCTCCAAAGGAATATATTCGATCCTATAGTTTATGTCCAGCAGCCAGGGCAGGTTGTTATGTGATGTGAGTTCCAAAGGGGTTGGGTGGCCTTATTCCTACACACTGCTGGTTACAGCCCTCATGGCCTCTCTCTTGGGTTGCCTCTGATCACCGTCTGTGACTTTTCTCAGACATTTCATGTTACTGGCTTCTCCAGTATCATGAGGAACGTAAGGACCATGTGGACAAAATAAACCTCTTTTTTTTTTTAAGTGCAAGCCTATGAACAGAAAGCTCCGCACTGCATCTTAATTTACTCAGAAGCAGGGTTTGTCACCTCTTGCCTTTCCTACCTTAGAGTTGCTAGTAGAAGGGGCCGCAGCCAGTTTCGCCAGTTCAGAGTGATGCATGGGACTAAAATGTGGGTGGAAGCAGGAGCCAAGGCCTAAAATCTAAATAGACCAGTGTATAAGTCTGGGCTGTGCTACTTACCATCTGTGTGAGATGGGAGAATTTCTATAGCCTCTCCGGTCATTCATCTTTCAAACTTGAGGGAAATAGGCAGAGCAGGACTGTACATAAGAGACGTGCAGCAGAAAGGACAGCCATATATGGTAGCTTCTCACACACTGACAACACAGGCAATCTGTCAATAAAGTTGGCTATATGTAAGCCTTATGTAAATGCCAGATCTGCTGCTCACTTTTGTTTCACTTTTTAAAAATCGTATATTGCAAAAGGACTCACCTGGAACAAAAATGCCTCCAAAAAATTACTACCCCCTACCTATGTATCCTACTCAAGATAAAATGGATCACTGTTTTACTCACACTTTTTCTTTTTTGCCCAAGATTTTGAAAAGTACTACTTCATTGTCATAGTGATTATTTTAGAAACTAATGACATACCTTTCCTTCTTCTCTTTAGCTCTTCACTTCTGTTTTTGGAGTAGGGTTGAAGACATCTGAGAAGTGGTTTCGGATGGGGTTCAGATCTCTGAATAAAATAAAATCAGACAAAAGCCTGAAATTTACACGAATGCAGAAAGCAGGTAATGATCTCTCACAAAAATTGTGGTTGCTCTGTGTCGGTCAGGCTTTGTAGAGATAAAAACTGATTGTACTTTGATCCCAATCTAGATGATCTGAGACACTTTGGGGGTATCTATGGATGCCTGAATTCAATCTTGACTGCAGCACTTTCCAGCTGCATGATCCTGAGCATGTTAGTTAAAACCTTTGAGTCTTAGTTATCTCATTGGTAAAACAATGATAATATTGATACTTAACTGGGAACTAAATCAGAAAATATATGCAAAGCTCTGAGTCCTGTGTCTGGCACAGAGCAAAGACACTCTTCTTGGTGGCTGCTGTGATTTCTTTATCCAGATGTCAAACTAGGATACACATTGGCCTGGTCCTATGAACTCTTCTAGACATTTGGTCTTAGATAATTCTGTGAGTAAGAGATGAGAGTAAAGAGTCAAGAACAGAAGGATAAGCTGACAAGGAAGACTAGGGAGAAAGGAATACTTGAAAGAATTAGAGTTGTTGCCAACTAGTTCACAACTGTGAATAAGCTTTTGAAACTAAAACACTAGGACAATAGAAAGAAAATGGTAGAAATCTGGACATGGGCTTGATATACTTAACCAGAGCCCTTTGACCTGAGAAGAAAAGGCATATGGAGACATGAGTTTCTACCACCATCTGAAAACCTAGAGGGACTTCCCAGGGATCCAGGTGGCTTGGTTACTACCATTTATGGAGGGTCCCAGTAAACTTTTCAAAATTAAAGTATTTCCAATATAGAACCAAATAAATGTGTGAGTTTTAAATGTTTACTTTAAACATGCAATAGTAATAAAAATATACTTGTGATTTCAAAGGGACTCACAGTTGTAGTCCCCAGCATATGGATTCTGAAAAGAATGATGAAGTTATCAAAATTTCTAATGATAGAAAAGTCCAGAGGAGACCAGGGAAGGAAAAATAAAAATCTGTCTCCTGTGAGTAAAGGCAATAGACAAACAGTAAAACTACAAGCAATGGTAAAGGAAGGAAACTAAATGTTGGTGGGTCTATCAGTGATACTGACCCCTACTCATCTTTTGTAAATTTGATCATTTCTAATTCTGTGTGTGTGTGTGTGTGTGTGTGTGTGTGTGTGTGTGTTTTCACACATGTGTTGCTAGAGATCAAACCCAGGGCCTTGCCATACTAGGTGAGTGCTGTACCAATGAGTTACTTCTCCAACTCTAAATTTGCCAAATTCTGAAAGATTGCTAATAACTTTTATAAAAGGAGCTAAGAAAAAGTTCCATTATTTATATTCTGGGCTTCAGAGAGTACACATTTAACAAGAATGATTATTGTACCATCTGTAGAAATGCTATTAAAAAGAAAGTGATGTATTAAACATAGTAGCAAGTAAATGGTAAGTGATTTGGAATGCTAGTAAGAATTCTCAACACTTAGAAACTGAGAGGCAACATAGTGTGTAGGGTTTCACTTAGAGGAGATGCTTATCAAATGACACCAAGTATTCTCAGCCTCTGAAGAGTCGTTTCCTAGCTTTGTAAACTGGATTTTTTCTCTCCCTATTAGATTCTTCTAATCCAATGAATGAAGCAGATATTCATTTAATCATTCAGTGAATCCAACTGCTTAATACTGTCAGACCTATGTAGAAATAAAAGAATGCCCTCTCTTCATACTTAAAATAACAAAAATACTGATTGGAGTACAGTGAATAGAATTGTCAATGGGTTAGAATACCACAAAGGATAAGCTAATTGAACACACATTGAAAACATGATTTGTGAGTCAGATAGAAAAGCTGATTCAGTTTGACTTAAAATTTCCCTTGATTGTGATTCTTTAGAGCTTGGGCATTCTCTTGCCATATTTGCCTTTAAAAAGTCAATTTCTGAAATATAGTAGCACATATTTAACATCATGCAGTGTAGTAGGCTTCTTGTAATGAATCAACTGCCCTGTCATACCAGAAAGGAAAGCCAATTAAATTGCTTTCATGGATGTCAATAATTATCACAATACCTCCATGTTCATTTCTGGTATCTGCACCTTCTGCAGAAATCATTGCTAATTGTAATTTTTGGTTCATGTACAATGAACACAGGAGTTTTATGGTCATCAACTGAGTTGCACTTTGAATATCAGTCATATGGCAGTTTCTGTCTCACAAAAAAGGCCATGTTACAATAAAAAGGTGACTTTTTAAAATAAAATGAGAAAAAGTATCATTATTGACAGAAAGTAGATCCACAAGCACAGTGACTTGGTATTGGACAGTTTCTAGATATCTTAGCATGAACATCATCTTTTGGTCCTGCCAACACACGTCTACTACTACCCCACTTAGATATAACAAGGGAAGTTTGCATCTGTGAACTTTGTGTATAGGATGCTCAAACCAAATGGCCTCCATGCTGCCTCCTTCTCATGTTCCTGGGGTCAGTGGTGGGGAAAGCTGCAAGGAAACAGACTTAAGCTAAAGGAGAGAATCACCCAGAGTTTACAGGTAGGAAATGGGCAGAGTCTGGCAGTGTCAAATCTTCCATCACTAGAGAGTCAAGCAGAGTTTGGATGGCCCTTCCTTGGGGGCACTGCCTCGAAGAGCTATGAATTAAAGTATAATTAGATGTCTCTCAGGCTCATTGAGTTCCCCCTCTAGTACTTTACCCAATCCTTGGAGATAAGCCTCCTTCTTTCTCTGCCTCTCTCCACACTGCTTTATGGGAATAACCAAGTTTTATCCCTCACCATAACAACTTTATCTGAGCTCCCATTTGATCTTGGTGGCCAAGCAAAGAAGAAATAACCCAAACCACCTAGCACACCATCTAAGACATTTTCCACCTTGCTTCAGATACAGATACACCCTTCCTATTCTTGGCTTTCATTTATTAAATTGATTTATAGCCTTCCGATCCTAAATTTTCCCATGCCAATTCTTTTATATTATCTTTTTTAAGTGGGAGGGCCCAGCTTATCTTGTTCAAGAAGGCTAGTTCTTCATTAGGAAATCAGGTCGGAGCAGTTTGGACTTCTGAGGGATGGGAAATGTTGTCTCCTTTCTAAAAAGGACATTGGAAGCCTCTTAGAAATCAGAGTCATTGGTACTATGAGAAGCTCACAATCAACTGAACTTTATGGCTTAGCCTCTCACTGAGGCTGTTTACCTTGTACATGATTCACTCTCCATTCACCTGCAAATGACCCCTCAGGATTCCTGTATTATGAAGACCTTGTCAGCTGTGTGACCAGGGCAGAAGCAGAGGCAGTCAGCATGCTGGTGAAAGAGGCTGTCTGGGCATTTCTGCCAGGGGCCTTCATCTCCATGACGGGCGGGTTCCGAAGGTAAAAAAGCTGCTTGGCCTTTTTCACTTTCAGTGGCTCTACACCACACACTGGCTTCTGAAATAGCACAAAAGGCCTTTTGTGATCTAGTGTCAGCCTCTCCCTGCAGCTGTGTCTCCTATCCCTCACATTTCATTTCAGCAGCCCCAACTATCTTGTCATATATGAGATTGCTTCTTCCCTCAATGACTTTGCTCAGTTGGAATTTTTTCCTTGGACTGATATTGCTCAAACTGTCACCTGGCGTTTCTTCATGCTGTAAGACTAATTATTCTACCACCTCTGGAAAGACTTCTGTGACTCTCTCCTCTTCTGTGCTAGGTTAGGGACCTCTCTTGAGTGCTCCTTAGACACATGCCAAACACTTGTTACACAATGTGTACTTTTCCCATTAAGCTATTAGAGCTTAGTTCTGATGCCTGGCACAAAGTAGGTGCTCAAGAAATCTTGGCTTACTCAGTGAATGAATTAGTAAATGAATTCTTCACAGAGGCACGTGCAGTTGTTGAATATTGAGGTCCCCATTTCAGAAAGGGATTCCTTCCCTCCACACACTCCTCAGCCTCTCCCTCTGATCCTCTTACCTAGTAGATCTCAGCAATCGTGACAAGTCAGTGTGACACAGAGAAGAAAGTAGACTGAATCTAAGAAAATGCCCCTAATTTATCATATAATTCTAGTAGTGCTATCTTGTATTAATGAATATAGTTCCTGGTTTGCTTTTTGTTTTTCTCTCTCTCCCGTTCCCCTCCCCCTTCTGTGTGTGTATGCTACAGTTATAAATAGATATAGAGAAGAAGCAATCTTTGTTACTGTTGGCCCATACATACATAATCATATACACGCTATATATGTATTTTTTCTATCATAAATTTATTTTACAAAGAATGGACTTGTGCAACCAAAGATAATTTATTTTTGAGAAGGTCATGAATGTTTTGTGCTGAAAAATTAAGCATATATTAAGCATAAGGCATAGAAACAAAGGTATCTTTTTAATCTGAGGGCTAAAATCTAACTTATTCTCATGCTACACTATTTTTTTAAATTAGGGGTAAGGAGATTGGGCATGATGTAGATTTTTTAATTACCAGCCCTGAAGTAACAGAAGATGAAAAGCAACAACTTTTACATAAAGTGATAAGCTTATGGGAAAAGAAGGTAAGAAGAAAGATCAAAAATTACATGTGCAAACATTATATTACCACTGTTGAATTTCCTTCATAATTGCGTAGTGGCCATTAAATTAATTTCTGATTATTTGTAACACCATATGACCCACGACAGCTTACCTAAAGCACATGTTATAAATATGTATTTTGTTTATTTATATTTACTTTATTACTCAGAGGGCCCGGACTGGCTGTGCACTTGTGTTTGACATACAGAAGCAATAAAGCACCCAAACAAAATGAAGATCATGCACTGCAAAGCCCTCGGATGAATAATTTGGGAAAGCTACAAGTTTAAGATTGAGCAAGACTGTCGGCCTACGCCCAACAGTGGCATTAAAAAAAAAAAAAAAAAAAAAAGCAGTTCAAGGGCTGTTGTTGCTACCTTGAATTCTATAATGTTTTTTTCCCAGTTGACTTTTGTATTGAAATGGCAAGAAGGAAGTTCATGAGGGCAAACTGAAACAGGCAGAGTTCAGGGCTCAGAGCTCTCTCCCGCTGACAAAATCAGACTCGTGACGGGCTACCCGATTGCCTGGTGGAAAGAGTTCTAAGCCAACCCTAAAGCCAGAGACACCAGCAAGGCTCTGATTGCTGTCCCACTCTAGTGGAGACCCATTCCAGAGAGACCAAAGGTCCCTACCCCGGTGACCCAAGTGGACTGAGGAGGCTGGTTCAGTGTTTCTCTCGTGCAGCTTCATCCTTCCTTGGACTTGCAACTGTGAGGTGTGAACCGAGCTCACTGACATGCCAAAGAAAGGACATCTCAGATAGAGTGAGAAGAAGATCTAGAAATACACAGCCCCAGAGCCACAAGCACTGGAAGTGAAAACCCAGCTGTGCAACCAGATCCAAGTTTACCTATGAGGCCATCTCGAGCCCCAAAGAGTCTCATTTGCAGACAAAGGAGCACAGCCCTGGCCCCTCCTTGGTGGAGGGCTGCTGCTTCCTGTCCTGGGGGCCACTGCCAGGGTGGGCCTATTGACCTTGGCTTATTGACACCATTCTCTTCATGCTGAGACTATACAAGACTGGAGTAGGGTACGAGATGGTGCCCGGGAGCACTCTTTCCATTGGTCTTCTCTGTTTCAAGGTAGTCATACTGCTGTCTCCACACAGAGATGGGTGTTTTAAATGTAGGCATGGCAGTAGGAGTTCACATCAAACATGTTTGATTTGTGGCTTTAAAAGAGCAACCCTGCCATTCACTGGCTGAACAACCTGGGATGGTTCCTTAATCTTTCACATTCCACTTTCCTTACCTATAAAGTTGGAGTGACACATCTCTCTCCATCACTAACAGCAGATTAAATGAGAGGATATGATAAAGTATGCAGTGCAGTGCCTGATAAACAACAAACACCTGACTAAGGGTGATTACTTGCATGATCTCCCATGTACATTTATTCAGTGAATGCCATCTGAGAGCCAGCACTGGGCCGGTGAGGGGACCCACCCAGGAAAGAGCAGGTGCAGCCCCTTTCCTTCATTCATGATTCAACCTAAAGAGAAAGTAGTGCAGCCGTGACTGCACCTTGGCAATCTCAGGCCTATGCCCAACACCTTGCTGTGAAAACAGCATATGAGTGCTTCATGTTTAACTTCCTCCTCTGCCGCACACATCCCCCTTCCATTCCCACCCCAAACTGCACTTTCCAGATGGTAAAGACTGCAGTTGGTGCGGGCAGTCATGCATACACTCACACAGTGAGTGTGCTCACACATGTAAAACACCTGCAAAGCATGGTGAACAGCCAGTGAGTTTCCCTGTGAGCCACTCATGGGATGACTCTAAATGTTGCCCTTGGAGAAAATCCTTTGGGTGCAGGTAGAAGAAAGGGAGGCAAAGAACTTAGAAATATTGATCTTTGGGGGAGGCTTCCCATCCCCAAGACTCTGCTTGCCTGAATTCTAACAGAGGCCACTGGTAGTTCACTCCAGAGAAAGGAAGCTGAATGATTCTGGTTTGGGTCCAACCTAGTGAGACCTTGGGTGAGGGCCCCCATGTAGATCCAATACTGTTCGTAAAACAGCTACAGATCAAACATGTTGACAGTCATTAGAGAGCAAATAATATAAGTTGGCCTTCCATAACATCAGGTTCTGCATCCGTGGATTAAATCAACCTTAAATAGGAAATAGAAGGGAAAAAACTGTGTCTATGCTGAGCATGTAGAGAACTTCTCTTTCTCGTCATTGCTCCCCAAACAAAATGGGATGACAATTATCTGCATAGTATTGTCATTGAATCGGGCATGGTAAGTAATCTAGAGCTGATTTAAAATGTAGGTTATATGCAAATGCTGCACAATTTTATTTAAGGGACTTGAATATCTGCAGATTTTGGTTTCAGTACGGGACTTGGAATCTGTGGGAAGAACAACTATTCACTTTGAGAAACTGACTTGACTGTGAGTAGAGGATGTTGATTCTTCTGTGAAGGACTTGGAAGGAATTGAAAGCAAAGGGCACAAAGGGATCCTGCCAGAAGGCCGCACCCTCAGTCTCTTTGCAACCCTTCCTCTTCCTGCTTGGTTAGCTGGTGTAGCCCAGAGCTTCCATCTGTGGGAGGTAAAATGTAGTGTGTCCCACCTCCTATTGCTCTCTCCTACACCCTGAGAACTGAGTGCTCTGTCCCCGGGTGATGGAGGTGGGAAGGAGAGGAAATCCCTCCTTTTCTATTCAAGAGTCTATCAGTCACCTATCAGGGTAGAAGATGAAGGAAAAGGCAGAAAGGGAGAAGAACAATGAGAAGGAGAAAAGAACATGCTGATACGAATGTCCAGTCTACTCATGAGTGCTGATGGAGAAGCCAGGTCGAATCCTTGAGGAGTTTTCAAAGGAGGAAAGTCACCTAAGAAAATGGAGGACGAGGAGAGGAACTATTGAAAATAGAGATGCCCCCCAAAAAGCCCAGGCTAAAGAATGGAGGCCCACTTCAGGGATTGTGTGTATACTGACAATTGTGCCCTGCTGAAGACAGGAGCTTCTTTTTCAAGGGAAGTGTTCCCAAACACCTTGCAGAGTTCTAGACAAACACAACCGTGGATGACACATCCGTCTATCACCAGCCAAGTGTCACCACCATGTGGCTGTAATGTACGCCACAGTTCACTACTAGGGAGCAGGGTTTGTGTATGTTTCTTAAAAGGGAAGTTGGTTTTATTATAAATTTGGCTATAAGACTTGCTACTGTTTTGTTTGAAAAGGAAAAAAACACAAGTTAGTTATACTACTAGTTTCTCTTAGTTCATTGGAAAGAAAGGTTTGTACTAATATGATTTGGAGAGTAAGTACTGTGAGTAAATATTTTGAAGATAACAATACATGATATTAATACATACTATTATATAATATATTAATATATATTAATATACATAATAACTTGTTATTCTATCACTTTGTTATGAAATTTTGTTTATAGAATTAAAAAAAATAAATAAATTTACCTGCTGAAATTTACATGACAGTCTGCTGTAAGGTGCCTGTGATAGTTAACTGACTGAGTCAACTTGGGTAAGAAACACCACTCAGTTGGACAAGCATAGTCCTGGTTGTGCTGCAGGGATTCGCTGAAGGCAGAAGAGCCACACTGGGTGTGAGTGGCACCAACCAACAGGCTTGTAGCTGAGCGGAAGAAAAGGGAAACAAAGAAGAAAGGCTCGCTTCTGTTTCTGCAGAGGAGCTCCCGTCTTCACCTCCACCTTGGGTGTTGTCCCCTGACTTCCAGCACAGACTCTTCAGCCTCAGCACAGACCCTTTGACCTCCTGATAAGGACTCACGCGGGACAGCACAGTGAGCTCCAGGCCTTCCACTGGGCCCTTCAGATCTCCAGCACATGGGCTGGGGATTTAGCTCAGCGGCAAAAGCGCCTGCCTGGCAAGCGCAAGGTCATGAGTTCGGTTCCCGGTACCGGAGAAAAAAAAAACAAAACAAAACAAAAAAAAGACAGATCTCCAGCACACAGACAGCCCTTTCCCACTCCTCGCACCTGACTCTGCAGGGAGCATTGGAAGCCAGTCTTGTAAATTCTTATGTATTTGAATATCTTGCCTTAAATCTCTTTCTCTAGTAAGCACTGACTGATACAGCTCCCATTTTAGCAAGTTGCACTAAAAAGCAGAACTGTGTGTTCCTGGGCTGGTTACTAAAGATTACTTGTGCCCTGTTCACTCCCTCTGCCAGAGGCTCCTCTGTTGAGCAGTGCGCTGCTCTCTCTCACCTCCACAGACAAAGGAAGGTTTCACCAACTGAGACGGCGACTCATGGAGGTAATCGGAAGAAATGAAAGACATGCTGAATATCAATAACAAACTGAGGCAGTGATGCTCAGTGTGGCTCTTCCTCTAGCAACATCAGCATTTTCTGCTAAGTGTGAATTCTTGCCTCCCTAACACCCGCTGGACCACCTCAAAGACAGGGCCACGCAAACTGTGTTTACCAAATGCTCCAACTGTTTTTGATGATAAAATTTGAGACTCTCTGGATTTAAGAATATATGATAACAAAGCACACTCCCCAGTAGCTATGATTATATTACTTGTAATTTGCCACTCAGCTTTTGCACTTAATTGTATGTTTCCACCTCTTCCTTCCCCTTATCTGTCCTGGCTCTAAGGAGCTCCCATGCTGCAGATAAATTGCAGGATGGCAACGTAGTTGGACATGCCTTCAAATTATTCATTCACTGTCTGAGTAGGCAACTTCAGAAGAAACAAGTGTCCCTAGCTTTGTGCTATTTTTCCCCCTATGGGCAGAATAGCAAGCTCTCAGGAGAAGCAGCATCTCCAGTGCTACCAGAAATAACAAGTCACCCTCCCACTAAAGAGGGGCTGAGCCCCCAGCCACAATCCTTTGGGCTAGTTAAACCTGGCCATCTGTATTACGTACAGGGACATGATCTCAATGCCACCCCAGCAGCAGCTCGGCTTTGTGTTCATGATTAATTTGTTTTGAAGGGAGTGAGAGAAGCTGTTGTACATTGGCTGGGTTGGAAGATGGGAGATGGGTTATCTCCAGGTTTTGCCATTGAGTGGCTTTGGTCTGTTCACTAAGTTCCTTTTCTGCAGAGGCAGGATTAGGCAACCACTTTCTCTCCTGGTGTAGTGAGGTGGGTTCTCAGTGTAAAGACAAAAATACTTCTGCATTCTGCTCAACCCTTTAAAGATTTCGTTAAGCTCCCATTGTGAAATCATAGACCCTCTCTACCAGGGATGCTTCTTATTGTCTTTCTGTTTCTTTTCAGGGACTGCTTTTATACAGTGACCTCGTGGAGTCCACATTTGAAAAGCTCAAGTTGCCTAGCAGGAAGGTGGATGCTTTAGATCATTTTCAAAAATGCTTTCTGATTTTAAAATTGCACCATCAGAGAGTGGATAGTGACAAGTCCCCCCAGCAAGGGGGAAAGACCTGGAAAGCCATCCGTGTGGACTTAGTGGTGTGCCCCTATGAGCGCCGTGCCTTCGCCCTGCTGGGGTGGACTGGCTCCCGGGTAAGCATGGCCTTGTGGGATGTGTTAGCTTTCCAGAAGATAGAGGGCAGGTCTACCTGGGCCAAGGAGAAATGATGGCGGTAGAGCAGCATGCCAGGAAAATGGACCGTTCCCAGAAACCTCTAAATCAGAGCACTTTCCCCACACACAAGCGAGTCAGATTAATGTAGAACAGTTATTCCTTGCCCACAGACAAGCAGCTGTGTAGCCTTAACCAGGGTAAGGAGAGACTTGCAAATTCTCTACCACACCCTTGACCCACTGAATGAGGAACTTGGAGTGGAGGTTGGTAATCTGTCTTTGAAAAGCCCCCAGGTGGTTCTGAGGAAGCACAGGTGTGAAAAACACTGAAGCAGAGAAACCAATAGGTAGCGAAGAGCATGAGCCAGGCTCTCCCCAGACCTGATGATGTGCACCTGCACCAGGTGGATGATCTAGGACGAGTTTGCTATGTTCCCTAAGACTTGGTTTTCCCATCAGAAAATGAGAGCAAGGACATTTATTGCCTTCCTAAGGAGCAGCAGTTTGGACAGATGATAGCAGCACACCAGGCGTGTGGTCAGCCCTGCATAACAGTAGTTCCCAGCTCCTGTTATTTTAGACTCATTGCACAGGGGTCTGTGCCTTTAAAAAAAATTGTTTCTCTACCTTAAGTCCTGATTTTTTAGTATTATATGTTTGTGATTCGTAAGTGTTAGTTTGAGGGAATTTACATACACAGTATATGTTGCACCTTGATCAGTTTGATCCCCTTTACCCACAATTTACCTTCTTCCCCTTTCCAAGATCCCCTTCCTAGACCCCAAAAAGTCCTTTTCACTGTCTTTTCACTACCATCTCTCTTCTATTTGGCTATTTAAATTTCTTATATTTTGAGTTTCTCATATAAGAAAAACTATGCAATATTTAATTTTCTTTGTCTAATTTATTTCACTAGCATCATGTTCCAATGATCCATCCTTTTTCCTATAAATGATTCAAATTTTTCTTTATGGCTGAGTAATACTCTCTATATAGCACTTTCTTTATTCATTTATTTGTTGGTGGGCATCTATCTAGGCTGATTCCATAACTTAGCTATTGTGAATTGTGATGCTATAAATACAGGTATGAATGTATTACTGTAATATGATTATCTTTAACTGTAAGAGTCTTCTAGTGGTATTTTTGGATCTTCTTTGAAAGAAATTAAGTCATATACAAATGAGGATGCTTTGACTTCTTTTTCTCCTGCATATGTCCTTTTTATTTTTTTGTCTTGTCTGATTGCTCTGGCTGAGGTTTTGAGTATTATATTGCTCAGAAGTGGTGAGAGTGGAAACCCTTTTCTCTTCCTGATTTTGAAGAGAATACTTTCAACTTTTCTCCATTCAGTATGATGTTGGCAGTGAGTTTTTAATAAATGGCTTGTATCAGTTTGAGGTAAGTCCTTCTACACCTATTTTCATTAAGGCTTTTTATTATAAGAGTCGGATTTTGCCAAAGGCTTTCTGTGCATCTGTTAAGATGATCATATGATTTTAATCTTTACTTCTGTTTATGTAGTGTATTACATTTGTTGCTGTATGTGTATTGAACCATCTTTGCAACTCTTGGATGAAGTCAACTTGGTGGTGATGAAAATGATTTTTTTAATGATTTATTGCATTGTTTGCAAGTATCTTGTTGAGATGTTTTTGCATCTATGTTTATTAAAGATATAGTTTTATTTTTGTTGTGATTTTTCCCAGTTTTGGTATCAAGGAAATACCAGATTTCGGAATTATTTTCACAGTGTTCCTTCTCTTTTAATTTCATGAAAAATTTTTACAAGTATTAGCATTAATTCTTCTCTGAAGGTTTGGTAAAATTCAGGGATAAATCTGTTGGTTCCTGAGCTGTTCATAGTTGATAGAATTTTTATTGTCTTCAATTTCAGTGCCTTATTGATCCTTTCAGAGTTTTTGTATCTTCTTGGTTCAATTTTTGTAAGTCATTCATGTCTAGGAATTTATCTGTTTACTCTAGATTCTCTAATTTATGGAATATATGTTTTTGAAATAGTTTCTTACTATTTCTCTGAATTTCATTGGTGTCCATTTTGAACTCACCTATTTCATTTCTAATTGCATTGATATGGGTCTTCTCTTTCCTTCATTCTGTAAGTTTGGCTAAGAGTTTGCTAATTTTATTTATTCTTTCAAAGAACCAACTCTTTGATTCATTTATCTTTTGTATTTTTTCAGTCCCAACTTAATCGACTTCCACTCTGATCTTATTTCATGTATTCTACAAGTTTTGGTTTTGCATTGCTTTTTTTTAATAGGACTTGAGATACATCATTAGTTTATTTATTTGAGATTGTTCTATTTTTCTAATATAGGCATTCACAGCTATAAACTTCCTCCTGAGAACTGCATTCATTGTGTCCCACAGGTTTGGGTATACTATACTGATTTTGTTGAATTCTAGGAACTTTTTCATTTCCTCTCTGATTTCTTCTGTGACCCAGAATGTGTTATTTAATTTATTTATTATAATTTAATTATTCCAGAGTGTGTTATTTAATCTCTATTTGCCTAGTTTCTATGGTTTATTTTCCTGCTAATTTCTTGGTTCATTCCATTGTGATTCAATAGGATACAAAAAAGATTATTTCTGTTATTTTGCGTGTAATTAAGCATGCTTTATATGCTAAAATATAGTCTATTTTGAAGAAAGTTCTGTGCTGCTGAGAAAAATGTGTATTCTGTTATTGCTGGGGAAAACACTCCATAGATACTTCCTAAATACATTTGCTTGATGGCGTGGTTCAACTCTGATACAGTAAGTCCCTACCTTACAAACATTCAAGTTGCAAACTTTCACAGGTGTACTGTATAAAACTCACTTTATTGGCTTAGGAAAAAACCCAATTTATGAACAAATCTGGAATGGAATTGATTTGTAAGTTGGACACATTATACTTCTTTGTTGATTTTTTTGTCTGGTTAACCTGTTTATTTGTTAGAATGGGGTATTGTCCCTCACTATGATTGCATTGATGATATCTATCTATTCTTTCATCTCCAGTAATGTTTGTTTTATAAAATTGGATGAGCTGATATTCAGTGTATAATATATTTACAGTTGTTATCTCTTGCCATTACATTTTCTCTTTACCAATATGTAGTGACTTTCCTTGTCTCTTCTGATTAGTTTTGAATTGAAGCCCACTTTTTGTGAAATTAAGATAGCTACTCCTGCTTGCTTTTGTGCCCTTGTTGCCTAGAGTGTCATTTTCCATCCTTTCATTTTGTCTAATGTGTTTCTTTGTGATTGAGGTGTGTTTCTTGCAAGAAACATATAGTTGGCCTGTATTTGCTGCAATATGGCAGTCCATGTCTTCTGATCAGGGAATTAAGACCATTTACATTCAGCATTATTATTGAAAGTTAATTACTGATTCATATCATTGTATTTTTTTCCAGTATTTCCAGTATTTCCAGTATTTCCATTGTATTTTTTCCTGATTCTTTTCCATATTTCTTTTTTTTTGTTTGGTTTTTTTTTTTGGTTTTTCTCCAGTACCGGGAACCGAACTCACGACCTTGCGCTTGCCAGGCAGGCGCTTTTGCCGCTGAGCTAAATCCCCAGCCCCTTCCATATTTCTTGTATTTAATTACTATCCCAGTTAGATGTGTTCATTCCTTTGGGCTGATGTTTATATCCCTGACTCTCTTTAGAATTCCCTCAAATATTTTCTCCAGTGCTAATTTGATTTACATGAATTTTGTCACATTCTCTTTGTTATGAAAGGTTTTATAGCTCTGTCAATTTCAAAGGATAATTTTGGAGGATATAGTAAATATTTTATGGATTAAAATTGTTTTCCTTTTATGGTTTAAAAATCTTAAAGCTCTCTTGGCCTTTAATCTTTCAGTTGAGAAATCTACTGTTATACTGATAAGCTTTTCTCTAATGTCTTTTAGTATTTTCTCATGTTCTAATTTCTTGGATTTTTTGTTTTGTTTTGTTTTGTTTTTGTTTTGTTTTTTGTTTTTTGTTTTTCTCCGGTACCGGGAACCGAACTCACGACCTTGCGCTTGCCAGGCAGGCGCTTTTGCCGCTGAGCTAAATCCCCAGCCCCTTAATTTCTTGGATTTTGACTTTGCTATGTATCAACAGTTTCTTTTCTTATCATACTTATTTGAAGCTCTAAATTCCTCATTTAGTTGGGAATCCATTTCAATTTATACATGTGGAAAGTTCTCTGCAATGATTTCAGTAAATAAATTTTTATACCTTTGGTTTCCTTCTCCAGCACTTCCTTGACTCCAATAATTCTTAGGTTAGCTCTTTTAGAGTCATCCTTGAGCTTTTGAATCAGTTTCTTGTGATTTCTTGTTGTTTTCAGAGTGTCATTGAGTATATTATCTACTACATCATTCTTGTCCTTAGGTCTTGATACTCTGGCTTCTGATTGGCATGTCTACTGGCATAGCCTTTATCTGTGTTTTTCATTTCAGGATTTCTGCTTCATTCTTTTTCATAAACTTTAATTCTTTATTAAAGTGGTCATGCATATCCTGCATTGTCTTCTTTGATTCAATGGGCTGGTTTTACTGTCTTCTCTATAAGCTGGTTGAACATTTTATTAATTAAATAGTTTGCCTGCTTATTTACATTCTCTTTGAGCTCATTGAACATCTTATGTATTTGCTTATTTGTATTTTTCCTTATGTCTTCAAACATTTTAACCATTTGTTTTTTGTTCTTTGCCTGAAACACCCTCCACTTCAGTGCTTGTGAGACCAGCTTTTGAATGTTAAGGGCCTTTAAAGGCATCTTGTTGCCTCATTCCCTCATGTTTCTAGTGTTTTTGTGCTGAGCATTTAAGATCAGTTAGGGCAGAAACTGGGCCCTTACTGTGGAGCTTTCTTTAGTTTTTGCCTCCCTGTGACATGACCTTGCCTTTTGTTATGTTTTGGTGATCTCTTAACTATTCACCCTACTCTGTATTAGGATCAGTCCTAATCACT